TGTCTGGATCTGGCCTCACCAAGCAGGCTAGGTCAACTGGCCTGTTTCCAGGACTGAAATTCCAAGTGATCACCATCACACCTGGATTTTTATGTGGCTTGGGAGATTGAATTCATGTTTTCATGCTTGTAAGGAGAGCATTTTATTGACTAAATAAATTATTCCAATTCCAAATGCTGTCCATTTTTAAGAATCAAGTATTTTCTGGGTAAGGTGGCATGTGCCTTTAATCCCAGCAGTTGGAAGGCAGAGGTCAAGTTCATTGGCATATAAACCCAGCTTTGTTACACTCATTAATTTGACAGTGCCCCTTTCTTGAAGCAGGCTCCTTGAAGAAAGGTATGGCTTTCACTCCTAAAGAAGTGACTGAAGGGGGCTGGGGAGACAGTGATCTTCCAGAGAACTGGGGTCAGTTCCCAGGACATACAGTAGCAGCTTGCAGTGGTCCATAACTCCAGTCACAGGGGATCTAACTCCCTGACCTCCACTGGCACTGCATCATTCATGTGGTACACAAACATATATGCAGACAAACATTCACACGTGCAAACATAAAACCTCAAGAAATACAATAGGAAGAAATGCCTGAAAGAGCCAAGCCGTCAAGTGGAGGAGCTGATGTATATTGGCTGCTCTTGGGATACTCAAAGCCTGTGATCCCCAGCCAGCCACCAGCCTAAGAAGCACTTGGGAGAAATTCAGTCATAACTACTGGTGTGAATTCACTATTTCCAATTAGTTCACCCACATAAATGTTATGACAGTTGTAAGATTGTGTGTATGTGTGTATGTGCGTGTGCACACATCTGTGTGCTCAAGCACACCTGCGTGATTTTCTGTGCACGATGTGTGTACAGGTGTCTGTGGAAGTCAGAAGATGGCATCCAATCCCCTGGAACTGGAATCATAGGGGGCTGTAAGCCACCATGTGGATGCTGGGATGAGGACTTGGGTTCTCGGAAGGAGCAGTAAGCACTCTTAACTCCTACACCACTTCTCCAGCCCCTTAGAACAGTTTTAAAGGCATTTTCTTGTTAGCAAAAGCCAGGAAATGAAATATGTTAATTCTCCTCCTCTATCTTGGTATTCTTTTCCTGCTGTGCCTTCTCATATTTTGAAAAATGTTGAATGTGATAAAGTTGTGGTAACTTTTATGTTTTTCTTCTCCCAGACGAGCAAAGGAGATTGTATTGAAGTTTGAAGGGAGGTTGACTAGGACCCGAGGCTACCAAGCAGCAGGAGCAGAGGTAAAGAGCACATGTGAGGCCCATTCAGCTTCCTCTCCTGCTGTGTCTAGAACCCAGAAGCCGTCATTGCCCCAGTCAGCACCCGTAGGTTAGGAGCACCCAGCGTTAATAACTGCAGAAGAGGGGATGAGTCAGCAAGTTCAAACTACGCCAAACCTGGCTCTTAGTCCTGGGTACCACCCGTTATCAGGTGTATGCTATAGGTAAGCCTAGTTCATGGGGAAAAGGAAAGTTTTTGTGAGAATAATCCAGGACCCTTCCTGACTGACTCAACCCCTTACCTGTAAGTTGCACTTGCTTCATCCCTATATTTGGCTGTCACCATGGCCCTCACATTGAAGTCCTCAGATGATTAAAAATGGGAAAAGAACTGGGTGCCACTCACTGAGCTCTGCTGATCCTTCTACAGATGAGCCAATGCCTGCCCAAGGAAAGAAAAGAACTTTCTGGGGGCTCATGATAAGACAGGTATATAGTGAGAACTGGAGCTCAGATCTGACTCCTGCCCTGTGCTTCTGTGACTTTAGGACCTTAAAACAGTGCAGAGACCCGATGCTCACTAAGCCCAGGCCTTTGCTGAAGGATGCTTTGAGCAGCCCTGCCTTTGAGGACCATAGGGATGGGAGGGGTCAGAAAGTTTGGTGTATTTCTGGGCTCTGGATATGAGGCAAGTATGCAAAATGCAGATAGTGCCAGGCAGACATAAGAAAATGTCAAGAAAGACCAGTGACCCTAACAAGGAGAATTCAGAGACAGAGATATCTGCTCCTGGCTGTTCACATGCAGTCTGCGTGATTGCTCATGGGAGTAGCGCCTGTCGTTGACTTGGTTCTCAAATCATGAGCTAAAGACAGTTCCAACTTCTGATAAAACTCAGATGTCCATGTGAAAGCAGCCGTCTGGCCTCAGCAGATGCATCCAGAATGACATTATCCTGTGAGTCTGTGTTAGGACTGTGTGCTGTCTTACAGTTGGGGACGCGGTAATTACATTTGTGGCTCTTCCTTGTGCAGTGATATCATTTGCTTCCAACACAAAGCGGGGCTGTTTGTGTGTTAGAATGCATAACCTGTCAGTTTTGCTGGAGAGCAGAGCCGGCATAGGCCACATTTTGCTTTGTTCTCCTCTGAGAAGGAGAGTAATGATTTCATACTCTTGGCAATGGTGTGGCAAGTCCACAAGACAAAATTCCCGAGCTTATTCTTGGCAGCTTTGGCCAGGACCAAGGCCAGGAACTAGCTTGTAGGATACAAGATCAATCTGGGGTGGAGCTCATTTTCAGGGTAGATTCTAGACTTTTGGTCTTTTAAAAGGGGGTGCAGATAGAATCATCTGGGGAGCTGGTGAATCAAATGGATTTATAGGCTCCACTCACCTATAAATCTACTAGGAGCTACTAGGAGTCTGTGCCTGGGTCAGATGGGTATCTTGAGATAACATTCTTCGTGTGATTTCCACTTTCCTCGTCCTCAACCCACGAATAAGGCAGGCTTTGACCCAAAAGAACATAGATCTCAGCAGGGAGTTGGTTGCGCATGCCTTTAATCCCAGCACTCAGAAGGCAGAGTCAGGCGGATCTCTGTGAGTTCAAGGCCAGCCTGGTCTCCAAAACGAGTTCCAGGAAAGGCGCAAAGCTACACAGAGAAACCCTGTCTTGGAAAAAAAAGCAAAGAAAAGAATATAGATCTCATGGCTGGGGCGTAGCTCAGGTGGCAGAGTGGTTGCCTAGCATGTGCAAAGTCCTGATCTCAATTACCATCACACTAACTTGATGTTGTGGGGTCCCCACACTTGGGAAATATAGACAGGAAGATCAGAAGTTCAAGATTATATGTAAGTACACAGTGAATTTGAAGCCAGCCTAGAATTCATAAAAGTCTGTCTCCAAAAAGAAACGCAGACCCCATAGCACAGAGTGCAAACTGGTGTACCTTGCCTGGTCAGGACACAGGGAAAATACAGGGCTACTTTGGGCTTGGAAATGTTTAATGGCCATAATTAAAGGTTCTGTGGTTGTGTCCGGGAGCCCCTCTTCTACCAGAACCCCAGAGCCCTGGCCATTACCAAGATTATGAATGAGACGTTTTCTAATCATGGGCTCTCCTGTCTAGCTCTGGCGGAAATTCGCCCGTTTGGCCTGTAACTTTGTGGTCATCTTCATTCCCTGGGAAATGAGGATAAAGAAAATTGAGAGTAAGTATCCACTGGATGAGTGGAGGGGGATGTGCAGCTGTGGCCAGCACACAGCCTAAGGCGTCTGGTGAGCCTTGGCCATTTATGGCATAGAGTCAGCCAGGGTACTTACACAGCTGGAGACCCTGCTCATGTGGGGATGAAGAGATGGAAGACCTAGTGCCCTCACTACCTCCCAGAAAGGGGAAAGTCCCCAGGCTGCATTTCTACATTCAGCCATGGCTGCGTGTTCATTCCTAGTTCGTTCATTCGGTCAGAGAGCGCAACTCTGAAGGATCAGTGAAAAACTGTAAGGAGAAGTAAGATGTAATTCCCAGATATAAACATGAAAATACATGTTTTTATAGAAGACTGTAAGCATTTAGAAGATCCATGCTAAAAATAAATAAATCATACTCCAAATCCCTTTCTCCTCCTGGCCCACATGCACAGAGGATAAACAAACTTTAAAATGTCCCGAAGTGAAGAAAAGCATCAATCTGCAGCCAAGATGATGATGTTCTTTTGAAAAGACAGGGGGACATTTATTCAAAGTTGGAGACTTTCCCAAAAATCAGTTCCCAAGTTTAATGCAATTCCACAAATATGCTCAGTGTATTGCTTAGAGTCCTTGATCACATGATCATAAAATGCAAGAAGGAAAACATCCAAGAGATAGATTGGGAGACAGGAGTAAGAAAATATTCCCAAGAAATTGCATGAACAAAAGGTAAATAAAATATATTAATAAAAGTTAAAAACCAAACAGCACAGAGCAGCACTGTGTGGGGACTGACCGACATTCAAAGGAACAGGCAAACATTTCAGAAACATAAGAAGGCAGACCACTGCTCCTACACCCAACTGTCACTGGAGTCAATAGAAATCACTCTGCAAATATTGCCAGGACAATTGATTCAGACGTTTCAAAGAGTAAATCTAGTCCTTTCATTTTAATATTCTATTAAATAGTATGAATATACAGTCAGAAATCATGAAAATCATTGAAGAAAACATAAGAAATGAGACCTTAGCATAGAGACCTGTTTAATCATAAAAGTGAAGGGGGAAGTTATCCAGAAAACTGCTTTTTAATTTACTTATTGGAAAATGCTTTTTAAAGATTTGTTTCTTTTCAAGTGTGTGGGAGCATTACCTGCATGTATGTCTGTTCACCACATGTGTGCATTGCCCACAGAGGCCAGAAGAGGGTGTCTGGAAGTGGAGATGGCTGTGAGCCACCATGTGGATCCTGGGAATCATACCCAAATCCTCTGAAAAAGCAGCTGATGCTCTTAGCTGCTGAGCCATCTCTCCAGCCTCAGAAAATAGACTTCACATACATAAAAAAAAATCAAAGACTAGATGGAAAGTTAGAAAAATCAAGTTCAATATTTCAATGGAGTTAAATGCTCTCTTACCTTGAAATTTAGAGGAAGTGTGTGTATACAGAAGGTTACAGAGTTTCTACATACCCTTTATCTGGCTTCCTCAGTTGTTAACACCTTGATATTTTTAATGCTGAAATTTAGACAAAGGATCTTAGAGAAACCTTGGAATGCGCAAAGTGATTCAAAATAGGACAGAAGTATATGAAAGTCTCCAAAGTTTCTAACTTTCCAAAACATGCATAAGTTAATAATTTTTTTTTGGCATGCTAGCTGAGTACAGCACCAGGAACATTATCATATAGCAGTCCTGGTGAACTAGAGCTAGCCTTTCGTACGTACATAGAGCTGGAGACCAGGCACAGGATGCTGACCCAGCCGGTGGGGGGCGTCAATACAACACCACTCTTCCTGTGTGTGCTGCTGGTGGAGGTGAATGCAGTCCCGCTGGAGGCAGGCTTTCTGCTCCGTGAGGCTTGAGCCGAGCCACTCTCGTGTTGTCTGCCCATAGGTCACTTCGGATCTGGCGTGGCCTCCTACTTCATCTTCCTGAGGTGGTTGTTCGGAATTAACATAGTGCTCACGATGATGACAGGTGCTTTTGTTGTCATTCCTGAGGTAAGAGTTGTGCCAGGAGGTGCAAGGCGTGCGAGAGAGGCAGGTGCTATAACCTGCTGCCCTCATTGACATCATAGGAAGGCTAGGCAGGACATGGCAAGCTCTCTGCAGAAGAACAGTGAATGTACCAGACTCAGTCACCACTGCTTAGATTTGCCGTGTATCACAAAAGAAGGTTTGAGCGAGGCAGAGACCAGTGAGGGTGGCTGAAATCTGAATTCATATTATGCTCTTTTTCCTTTGATTATTTCACCTAACCGCTTAATGGTGTCAAAACCATTCCTATCCATATCTCTCCGGTCATGCAAGAAGAGGTGACACACTCTAATTGGTCGAGGCACTGGTTTGCCTCCCCAGTATTCCAACTGAATTCCTTCCTATAAACAGAACTGTTCCTTTCCTTGGGGAAGAACCTCAGCAATCTAGCCAAGAAGCCACTACTAATCTTCTCACATGGGTTTACACAGTAACAGCACAGGCAAGCAAACCCTACTCATGGCATCTCCACAGGCACATGGGGAATCCACCATCCCTCTTATCTAGTCCCCTAGCCCAGAGGAACATCTCAGCCCTTCCTCTCTTACCAGCTGATCGCAGGCCAGCCCTTTGGAAGTACAGCCAGCAAGACCATCCCCCAGGAGCAGGTCATGTCTGCACAGGATCTGGACACTGTCTGGTCCCTGGGGGTAAGGCTAATGTCATCTACACCCAGGCCTTCGGAAGGGCTGAAAGGGCCACAGTTCTGGGGTCTGGGGATCAGAGATGACTCTTGGCTCTCTTTGCAGGGTTACCTTCAGTACTCTGTCCTGTTCTACGGGTACTACGGAAGAGAGAGGAGGATTGGGAGAGCCGGCTACCGCCTGCCCTTGGCATATTTCCTGGTGGGGATGGCAGTGTTTGCTTACAGCTTCATCATTCTCTTAAAAAAGTATGACTGTCGATTTCTCAAATCCACGTCTGGAGTTCAGTTAGAACATGTGTGATGATCTCATGTCATCCTGTCAACAGCCTTGTTAAAGTTACGAGTCACTCTGGCCATTTTGTAGAGGAAGAGACCAAGGCTCGAGAGTTATATAATTTCAACCAGCACTTACTGTACATTGACTATTTTGTGCAAGGCTCTGTAAGGGGTTTGGAGAGACAAGTATAGTGATTTATGTGTAGTGTATGATTTTAGAAAATACCTTAGTTGCACTAATAAGATATGATCAATGACATCTAGGTGATTGGAGGCGGTTAAAAAGCAGACAGCTCTCTTTGGCTGTGACCAGATGATAAAGCATTGATGCCTCCTGTCCATCATTGAGAGGAGGTCACCATGTAAAAGAGAGCAAAGTGGCCAGAGTCAAGAGTCCTGCAGCGCCCACTGTGAGCTCCACTAACTTCACCCAGAGCCCTGGGGCAACTCACTTTTCCTCTTTGCACACATTGGCTCAGAAAAGCACCAGGCTACCAGGCTCTCTTCCAGATGAACATCCTCTGCTTCTGTGTAGAGCTGGGGGGAAAGAGAGACAGAGACAGAGAGAGATGTGAGTCGACAAAGGAACTCTGAGCCTAGGGAGGGCTGATCCCCATCACCTCAGCTGCTATCTGTGGTCTCCTTTGTACGTTCACCCACTTGTCGCCCCGTCCCACTGTCCCAGCAGCAAAGTACACATAGAGGTGTTTGGGATCAGAAACTACACAGCAAATAAATAGGCAAACCCACAAAACTTGAAGAGATGTACAGTGGCTTGCAAGCCTGCTTCAGATGACTGAGGTCTCTCTAGCTCAGCTCCTGGTGGCGGCCTCAAGACCTCATCAGAACAATTCCAGTCCTTTACTAGGTGTTACTCTTTAAAAGCAACTCAGAACAGAATGTGAGAGCATGAAATGTAGCTGAGGAACAAAGCCAATGTTTATTACTGGAGAAATGGCCGAAAAGGCAGAGAGGGGGATCTCCCGCCTTCAAATATCTAAGGAATGTCCTGTGCAGGAGGAACTGGGCAGTTCTTGGGGAATCCCATGGGGAGGAGTTACCACAGGCAGAAGCGACAGGAACACGGCTTGATCTCAGAGGGATGGTGACCACTTTACCATCACAGCTGCAGACATGAGGTCTCCCAGGACAAGCATACCTCGATGGCCGCTGGTCACCACTGTGCCAATGGGAATGCCCACCAGAAGGACTCATGCAATAATTACCGTTGCCATTTTCATCCAGTGAAAGGATGAGCTGAGGGTCCAAGTGTGGTTAAAGTGCAGCCCATGCTCTGCTCGCCAAGCAGGGACTGAGGAGCTGTGCCAGAGGACAGCTTTGCCCAGGTCCCACAAAGTTTCCATGTCAGGTTGTGATATCCTGGAGAGAGCGGTCCCATCCCTGAGACCCAGTCCTGTGACTGACGGGAGCCTCTCTTGCAGAATGGCTAAGAACTCCCGTACCAGCCTGGCCAGTGCTTCCAACGAAAACTACACCTTCTGCTGGAGGGTATTTTGTGCCTGGGATTACCTCATTGGGAACCCGGAGGCTGCAGAGAGCAAAACAGCCGCCATTGTGAACAGCATTAAGGTGAGTGAAGGCGGCACCAGAGTCCAGACTATCAAGACTGCAAGACAGTCTGCACCCCCTGCTGGCTGAGCCAGCTCACTCCCTTTCCTCCCCACCCAGGGCAACAGACCCAGTGGAGGTCAACTTGACCAGGAAATGTACCTCAAGAACCCATAGGAAGTTAAGAATAAAAGCTCAAAACGACTCTTTTATTTCTATATATTGTTTCTTATTAAATTTTTGATTTGTGTATTTTTTATAATTTACATGGTGGATTCTTAAAATCTATAAATGAAGAAATACTTCTACATTATGTATATAAGCTTTTATCTTTAACTTAGAAGTCAATGTGATCAAAATCAGTCAGAGATGGGAGTCAGCTGAATGTCATAGGCAACTAAAGAAAACCTTATTCTGAGGGGAAAATATTTCAATGATCCAAAGTATCACAGCCTTTTCTCTTTATTCTTTCTTTCCACTCTCTGTTCTTTTGTTTAATTATTAGATAATTGATATGTAATTCATTGTTGTCAATAGGAACTTATAGAAGAAAGTCATAGCCATAGAAGATAAGAATTAAGATAATGGATTAGTTTTGGGGGGATGATTTTGTTGACGTTCTTGTTTTTCTTTTTTCTTTTAGACCCAGGCTGGCTCCATACTTATTAGTGGATCCTCCTAAGGGCTGGGATTATAGGGTGTACCACTATGCCCAGCTGGATACCTTACTCCTAGTGGTTATAATTGGTTGAGGCTAGGCTTCTAACGCTGCCTGTGTTTTTCCTTCCAGGAGGCCATACTGGAAGAGCAAGAAAAGAAAAAAAACAAAAACATGTAAGTATTAATATGCCCATTCATTAGTTTTTGCCTCATTTGGTACAAAGAGTTATTGAGTTATCTATAACTTATTTTCATAATTGTCAGGCAGCTCCTCCTTCCTCTTGTTGTCAGTCTCCTTAGTGATGTGACCTGTGGGAACCTCATTCCTTTCCCATAGCTGTCTCTAGGAGTGCTTCTGCCTTCTGTATCATCTGCACCTGGACAGAGGGTCTGAAACTGACCAGTTTTCTGTTCTTTTACTTACACAATAAAATGGCTATCTTTAGTAACAATATCTAGTTTGCTAAGTAAAGGAAGACACATGAGCATCATTAGGATTAATTTTATTTAGAAACAATTCTTTGAGTTCCTAAGATACAAGGAGCATCCCATTCACAACCAGAGCCTTCTGAGATGACCTCCTGGGGGCCAGGTTTGCCATGGGATCTTTAAACGGAGACCCAGTGGAATGGAAGGATGCTGCCATGAAGGGGCAATGGCCCTGTCCTCATTAGGAAAGGCATGTCCACCTGCCTCATTGCATGGTCCTGTTAAATTTGTAGCTACTGGCTACTGGGGCAGTGCCAGAAAGAGCTGTATGCAAGCAGCCGGGAGAGGTGGATTCTAGCCCTCCCTGGCATAAACCCCAGAGATCCAGAAAGCTGACCCATAACCTATTTGACCAACACATCCTCTCCAGTGTAATGGCAGGATGGGCCCCATCAGGCCTCTCAGAGGCTAGAGCACAAGCCCACCACAGTCATCTACAGTCTCTGAAAGCACAGACCTCAGTTTGCGTTAGCATCCCTGACAATGGGATACAAAGTCTATGTCTTTATCATATCCAATCAAATGTTTAAATGACTCCTGGAATTTGAAAATGATCACCACCTTTAAGTTCATTCTAGACCCAAGAGGTCTTACTCAACAATTCATTACTGGTGAACCCAGGAAGAACCAGTTTTCAAGTCCTGGTCCTCATCACTTTGTGCAGAGGAAGACAAAGATGCAGCAGGTACTCGGAACCAGAGAAAGAGGGGATTACTATTTGTCCACTTGGCTCCAGGGCCAGCATACTTTGACTGGTGTGATCACCAGGAAGGACGCCAGGTGCACGGCCATGGGGAGCCAGCCATTGTGTCCCCATCACATTCCTCCTAACTGGTACCTTGTGAGTAGTATGATCCTGGCAATGATGACTGTGTGCTTTGGAGGCAGGAGGATGGCATTGGTGGACCTAGCTGGCTAGGTGTTTTCTGTTCCAAAACTCCACAGCTCTGAGTCTGTGATGATCCCCTTCCAAAAGAATAACCCTGTTGTCTAGCACACTATATTTCCTTTTTTACCTAGAAGATACCATTTACCATTTCATTCAGCAATCAGTTTTCTTTATGCAGATGAAGGGCAAAAGTGTACATAAAGGGAAACACCTTGACCTGCCCAAGCTCCCCAATAGTGGGACTTCATGGGAGGGGTGGTACACTTCTTGGGTGCCCCTTCAAGTCATCTTGGCCCTTTCTCTTTCTCCAGGCAGTTATGCAAGCTTGCTCATACCTAGGCTAGCTACACATACAGTGCTGCTCCCGGAAGTGCTCACAGGGTCCTTGTCCACACTCATGCACTGTCATCCACAAGCTGGGTACACTCTGGGTGAGACCACCTATGGAGTCACCCGGTGCCACAGGAAATGGAATGAATGCTTTTCTCTCGTATGCTGGGTATGCTGGGAGCATTCCATCACCCTGAGAAGGCCTCCAGCTGTGTCCAGCTGTGGCAGACTCTACCATTGAGCCTCGTGGTGATGGCTCGTCTCACCTCACTTCCTCAGCCTTCACTCCTGCTGGCTGGATTTATTTCCCAAGTCAACTCTCTGCAGACAAGCCTTTGCCTGGAGCATTGGTTTCAGGGAAACCAGGCTAAGGCTGGACCCAAAATGGACAGAAGGAAATGCTTTGGGAATAGACCGACTAGTCAGTTGACTAGTACTTACAAAGAGGGGGGGGGATACATGTTCTATGTAAATTCTAGAATCATTAATGATTTATAATCTCCCTACACTATCAGAGGAAGTGCAACCAAACAAGGGAGGTGTGTTCCCAAATCCATCTCATGGTGACTGAGTTGCCGGTTCATCTAACTCATATCAAAGTACTTAGATGTGCTGGGGGCTGTTCTGAGAGCTGTGGACACAGGGATGACAAAGACCGAAGATTCTGAGATCTCACACAACCCAGGGGAAAGACAACTAGTAGCCAAGTAAATACATGGCAGACTCACAGTGTGGAATGATGGGTGGGTCCACCAACTGCCTCCTGAAAGATGGGAGGCCAGTCTTTCCCCCTCCCCCATTCCTCTTCTGCTGGAAATGTTATGTGAATTCCTGTCCACATCACAGGACTCTAATTGTGTGTGTGTGGAGGGGGGAGGTACGTATGTATTGGTTAGTGTAAGTATGAAATACACATGTGTGTGCATGGATGCCAGAAGAAGCTATCGATCATCTCAATCCTGTTTGATGGTTTCTTAAAGTTCCAAGCTGCTGGCTCACTGAGTTTACAACATCAGATGTTGATGTCTCAGAAATGCGAAATTGGAGGTGGAGGTGGCAGAGAAGACCCCAAGCAGGGGAAAGGCCCCTCTCCCGAAGTCGCACCATCTGCATCCTGGTACTGCCTTTCTTTTCAGGGCGGTGACTGTCTGCCTGAGAATCATCGCCAACATCCTGGTGCTCCTGTCGCTAGCTGGGAGCATCTATCTCATCTACTTTGTGGTAGACAGGTCCCAGAAGCTGGAGCAGTCTAAGAAGGAGCTGACACTTTGGGAGAAGAATGAGGTACCCACTGACCAGCAATTATATTAGCAGGTTGCACTTTATTGGAGGCAGAGGTAGTAACAACATCCCTCTTCTCTGCTTCCTTAGTGAATTACACTGAAATGTCCCTAGAGATAAGTATAGCCTGCTAGTTCTAGAGTAGGGACCAGGGCCTTCAGGTCCAGCAGCATCACGTCCTGTTGAAATGACTTGGAAGATCTTCATTTAAGAACTCTTCCAGGTGCTCACACCGACCCTTCTGGTTCACCTTTGCCCTGCTCACTGCTATTCCTTTGCATCCACACTCTCAGGCTCCGCCCACAGACCTGCATCTGTGACCACACTGACCCACAGTGTGTGCCTCTGATCCCACCAGCTGCCTCATCCAACACTTTGGCAGTTTCCAGAACCAGCCACACCAACAGTTTGGGTATTGAACAACCCACCCCCAATTGTGTGAATATCTCCGTAAATAGAAAACTACCAAGT